TAAAAAAGTGGAGTGGAAGTGGTTATTAAAGTAAAAATATCTATTTCAATCATTTTAACATTACATTAAATTAAAAAATCTTCATAAAAAAATTTATTAAATAACTTTTCAATCTACAAATATTTTTATAAAAAATTTTATCTAATACTTACGGCTTTCAAAAACAGCATTTTTACAACCAATTCTTCTCAAGTGACTTCTACAGCCACACTAAACGGGCCCTAAATCAGTATCATCTCCGATTTTCTTCTTCTTCCTTTCTTCTCCCTCATTCCCTTCCCTTTTTCTTTTTCTTTTCAAAATCTTCAGCTTTCTTCATATATATTTTTTTATTAAAAAAAATATCTGGATTCTTGAGTTTCCACATCTGGTTAGGCGGCGCTACATTAGGGGATTGGTGATCGCAACACCGCCATGGTGGTTGCGTAGGCGATACAACCACCACTTTAGCGATGGGCATAATTTGGATCTCTTCATTCTTCTATTTCTTCCCACTTTGTTTTTCGTCTAATTTTATTAGTGATGCTTTGAACCGATCTTGCTATTTCTCAATTCTACTTGACGTTTGAGTGGTTCTGTCGCCATTTCTCAATTTTTATTTTGATTTTTATTTCACTGATGAGATTGTTTTAATGTATGACTATTTTTGGGTAAAACATATTTGGGTCTGCTTTGAATGATTTTGTGTATTAACAGAGGAAGAGAAATAGTATTTTGCTTCCAAGCATTCACCTTTTGTTGTGATGATGATTTGGAATTTGAACATGTGTTCATTTGTCTATGATAATAACAAATAAATAGACTCAACCGGACAGCAACATTGCAGCTTTGGTGGCATGCTTATCTAGAACAGTTCCAACACTTATTCGCTGATAATCATTACAGTAATTAGAACTATTTATTTTAAGGACCAAATTTCATAGCTGTAAAATAAATTTCTTATTATCTTATCAATGCAAAGAGACTTCAATTTCAAATGCACTGAATTGAATGTGGAAACTGCGACAATTGGTTGCCATTTTTTGCTCTTTATTTTCTGACACTATCGTCCTTCTAACTGCGTAATAGAAACCTCATTTATTGAACTCAATCCATGTCTGCTTCCTGCAGACTCAACTACTGGCAGGTTCCTTCCTGTGAAAAAGCCAGGCTGCTTCGGTTCAGGCAGTGCACTCTCACCCCTCAACATTAGAACCACCGATAACATATCTGGTCTGTCTTCTGGTCTCTGCTGCACGCATAAGAGTCCAATATGAATGCATCTCAAAACTTCTGATGGTGTAGTAAACTCATAAAGGACATTCTCAACTAGTACCATTGGCCTCCCTTCTATCCACAACATCCATGCCTGAAAAACAAAGAACCATTGTTGATATGTTGGTTAAATATGGGAGAAAAAAGTACCGTTCTTTAAACTTACATGTCCAAGAAGATTATGATCATGATCTGGGTGCCAAAATCCTCTGTTCCTCTTCCCAATCACTATCTCAAGTACCAAAACCCCAAAACTAAAAACATCAGATTTAACTGAGAAAAGTCCGTCCACAGCATACTCAGGAGACATATAACCACTGAAAAAAAAATAATTAAGTAGAATGAAGATCAGTGGCAACAAAATGACTAGTTAATATGAAACGGAGAAGTTCAGGTGTGCATACTATGTTCCAACCACTTTATTAGTATTGGCCTCAGTTTGTTCTCCCCAAATTGATCTGGCCATGCCAAAATCTGAGATTTTTGGGTTCATTTCACTATCTAGTAAAACATTAGCAGCTTTGAGATCTCTATGAATGATCCTCAATCTAGAATCTTGATGAAGATAAAGAAGTCCTCGAGCAATTCCACCAATAATGTTCACACACCTATTCCAGTCTAATAGCTTTCTTCTTTCTTTATCTGACCCATTTCTCCTCATTGTTAGTGCAATAAATAATCAAATACTTAGAGCAGAGTTCAAAAAAAGGATGATTAGAGGTAAGGGATGAGACAAATCTAACCGAAAATAAAGTAGTCCAGACTTTTATTTGGCATGTACTCATAGATTAACATTTTTTCATCTCCTTCAATGCAACAACCAAGAAGCTTTACCAGATTTCGATGCTGAAGCTTTGCAATCAAGATGACTTCATTCTTGAACTCTTGAAGTCCTTGTCCTGAACTCCTTGATAGTCTCTTCACTGCTATGTCTTGACCCTCTCCTAACAATGTACCCTTTGCAATAACAGTTTAGAAATCAGAAGTTATTAGTAAGAGATGTCATTTTAGAAGCTGTTAATATGTTTTGGTGTTACCTTGTACACAGGACCAAAGCCACCCTGTCCCAGCTTGTTATTGCTTGCAAAGTTGTTTGTAGCACTAGCTATGATTTCCAAATTAAACATCCGCAACTCCATGTCTTCCTTTTCTTCATCATTCATGTATTCATTTCTGAAATGCCCTTTCTTCAGTGCTGAAATGAAGGATGTTTCAGCTAGGATAAACGTATTAAAAAGTCCATTGTTCAAATCAAATAAGAAATGATCAAAATTTCATCGTGATGCAACTTCTTGCTACTAGAAAGCTTTTGATTCAGATTTCTATGAAAAAAACACCAACAAGTATAAGAAATTGCAGGAGTATTATTACCTTCATTTCTGCGTTTTTCCTTCCTTATACAGAGAAGAAACCCCACTATTAGGATTAACGAGCCTAGGATGACAGCACTTGCCATGAATGCTGCTTTCTTCGTCTTCCCCAATCTCTCTCTCTTGTCAAGATGAGCTGAAAGATTGAAAGTTAAGTTGATGGACATCTGTTTGAGTCTAAGAACAAGTTCATAGTCATGAAGGGTTCAGAGAAGTATAATCTTTAAATAGGAATAGGTAAAGTTGAGAAGAAGGTACCCATGTCTGAAGGTGCCAGCCGTATATAGAGGTCTTGTCCTCCCGGTGTGAGATCTCGTATATCAATCAAGTCACCGAACCATAGCAAGCAGCCACTTCCTCCAAATCTGACATCTGCATTTGTATATGCTGTGCAGGAGCAGTTTGTCAAACACATTTCCGCACATTCCTTGCGGTTCATTGTCTTGCTTACTGTGGAATTGGATGTATCCGGCCATTTCAACCCTGTATGCTTGAGAAACACATCTTTTTCACAATCTGAGGATCTATCTCTAACACACCCGTCAGTCCAATTTCCCGAATTCCAATCTACTGGAGATTTGGGCAAATATCCTTCCAAGCATGAACATACAGGAGATTTATTGATATTGCAGTTAGCAAATTTTCCACAGAAGGCATAATTTTCGCAGATATCATCTGGCTTCCGATGCTCCCAATCATGAATCCCTTTTTTCGAGAAGAACTGAACAAGACCAAGTGAATTCAACACCCACCATGTTTCAACTGAGCTATCTTCAGGCGCATACGTATAATATACCTCTTCATCATTCCACACATATCGAGATAAAACTGCAGGATATGGCGTAGCAAAACGCCCTGCAAAAGACATACCGTTCCACGGCCCTGCCCTGTGCTGAATTTTAGGTCCCTTCTCAATTACCATTTGTGGAACCCCTCGAGTGTCTAAACGTGACGAATATATGCCTGGAGCTGGGTCATCTGTGCTTCTCCAGGACGAAAGAATTCGGTCAAACCCGGTTTTTAAGTTTTTTCCAACCTTCATTCCGGGCAGTAATGTATCAGACGGATAATCAAAACTCTGCCACAGATAGTTGTCCGAGTTGTAATTTTTTTCATCTTGCACTACAAGATTGCCCGATTCCAAGAGTTGAGCAACTGGGTTTTCTGCACTTCTTGATGTATTTGATGACCAAATGACACCCTTTGTGCTATCAAGAAGAGCAAGAGTACCCTTTGAGTACAGTACCAGAACTCCTTCACCATCAGAAAGTGGATTTTCTCTATTAGCTACCCACACAACTGTCTGATTTGCTGATTTCTTCACTTTCTTGTACCATATACCCAAGTACAGACTCTTGGAACTTCCAGGTCTGAAGAATCCAAGCTCAAACCTTCCATTGGATGAAACTAGTGTTTCACCAATTTTTATTGATTTATTTGGACCAATGGTATCTAGTGCAGCAGCTTCACTTATAATGGAGAACAAGATTAAGCACATAAGAAATCTCAGAAAGCTTTCCATTATTTTTCATCAAAGAAGCATAGATTATGAATGAAGATTTTAGGATTATATGAAACTAAAGACGCTGAACAGAATTAGACAGGAGTTGCGTTTGTTTCTTCGTCGGCTCAGTTATTTCCACAGGCAGGACACATTCTAGTGAAAATTCCAAGAAATTGATTGGTCAAATGGTGGTTTGGGATTATTCTAGTGAAAATTACGAATATTCAAAAGTCAAAAAAACATGGCTTTGGATCCTACAGTGTAACAGGCTGCATGGTTGAAATTTGAAATTAAGCATGTAAAACACGTGAAAAAAATCATGTCAATTTAAAGAGGAAAATGTAATATCCATTTGAATGAAGCCAACAGAGGCGGTCTGATGGGAACTCAAATACATTATGCAACAAATTTGTCATTGCTCACTGTTTCTAAGAAAATGGTTGGGATACAAGTCAAATCTTACGCGTGGTGGGGCCTGCAGGCTGTTCTTGCATGTGAAGGCTGGAATCACCTACAGCAACACGTTGGAATGCTGCAATGGAATCCAAGCAGTAAAAACTTTATTAGATTTATAAATTTTAATTCATGATCTTATATTATAATATTTTTAATCCCTCACCTATTAAAATTAAAGAAAATAACTCTAATTTTATAACATTTTGTTAGTTTTATTAATTGATTGTTAAATCTGTTAGTTGAAAGTAAGTTTTTGTCAATTAACAATCAACTAACAATCAATTAATAGAATTAACAGTTAACTAATAAAATAGTTTTGTTAATTGACTATTAACTCTATTAGTTGAAAATATGTTTTTGTCAACTAACAATCAACTAATAAAATTAATAGTCAGCTAACAAAACTAAAAAAAATGTTATAAGCAAATGTTATTTTCTTTAATTTTAATAGGCATAAATATGACATAAGGACCCAAACTTATACAAAATTTGCAATGTTGGACCCAAACTTCAATTGCACTCAATTAAGAACCCGAACTCCACGAAATTCTCAAATAAGGTCCCAATTAGACGGAAAACTAACTTCTGTCAAATCTAACAAACACCGTTAATAACTTCTTGACGCCGTTTGTCATCGGCTTCCGTGGCGTTGCACCTGCAGGTCCTGCACGCCTTTGCATGTTTTTTTGACCTTTACTTCATTTGTTTTTAGTAATAATATTTTTTATTAATTAATTAATTTTTAAGTTAATGAATTAATATTATATAATATACATATCCTCAATTATTTTTAATAAAATATTGATATATTTTTTATTTTAATTAATAATATGTT